TCTATCCCTAACACTCTCAAGCAAGCTAATTTTGATTGGTTTCATGAAAGTCTACGAATCTTGTTTAGGGAATGGCCTTTGATTTGAGTGATAAGAAATTGTTCCTTTATCTTCGATTTAGTCTACGTTTGGGTTTAAGATGCAGAGATATTAAAAAAATTATTCACTAAATATTTGCAAATCAAGCAATTTGAGAAGCCTAGCACTGAGGCCCATACGGCTTGTGCAAGCAGTAGCAAAACTTCCTTTGCTTGAAGAGCTTGAGGTCTCACAGTCATGGCGGAAACTGAATTTGAAAGCTATAGGCCATTCTTGCCCACTGCTAAAGACATTGAAGCTAAACTGTTTAGTTTATAGGCGCTCTGCCAGAAATTTGGATATAGATGCACTAGCAATTGCTGAAAGCATCCCCAAGCTACGCCACCTCCAGCTTTTTGGGAACTGTCTTACAGACGTTGGCGTAAACGTCATTCTTGACAAATGTCCTCACCTGGAGGACCTTGATTTACGCAAGTGTTTCAATGTTAACTTTGTCGGGAATCTAGAGAAGCGATGTTCAGAGAGGATCAAAAGTTTGAGACGGCCCGATGACTCAATCGCTGGTTACACGTTTGATTCCATTTTTTTCCGATGAAGATCCAGATGATGCCGTGGACATACTATATAGCGGAGGGACGGACAAGGAGGATTCGGACTAGATATTAGAATATTTCTGAACAATGCAGAGATCAGTGGGTGAGTGGTTGTGAGTCTTTAAATTAACTTGGTCATGTCCTTGTTTCTCTAAATATTCAAAACTCTTAAAGATTGTATTATTACATGTGATGCAAAGATTAAAAATAATACCAATACTTAATCAATGAAGGTTTGTTCTTCCTAATATAATCTTGCAATGAAAATGACAATAAAAGACAAATGAACCTAAAAAAAAAGCTGAAAATTAGGGTACCTACATTGCTAAAGTTTATTTTATCTTAATAGTTTTTTAAATATTACAGATACACTGAACAAATGGAAGAGATTTTCGATGAGGCATATGATCGGTATATAGCCAAAAAAGAAGAAAGCGCGAAGCAAAGAAATACACTGAAAAGCTTGAGGTACTATCATTGCTTAACCTTCATTTTCTTGGATACTAAATATTATTGGAACTAGACATTTTCTTGCTTTTGCCTTTGTAGGATGGTGATGAAGGTGAAGAAATGAATCTTGATTACACTTCAGATATGAATGAAGAGAAGGATGATGCAAACCCTCTTGTGGTACAACTTGATGATGGAGATGCTCAAACAAAGGAGGAAATACCCAACCAGTGGTTCAGTCAGGATATATTTTCAGAAGCCGTGGAAGAAGGTGACTTGAGAAATGATGACGAAATGCAAATTGAGAAACAGAGGAAAACTCTGGCTAAACCCGACAAGTCGAAGCAGAAAGCGTCAAAAGCAAGCGTGTTGTCTGATCAGAGCGTAGATATTGTCTCTGTGCAAAGGCAGAGATATTGGCATGTGCCAAGATAAATGCCAAGGAAGAAGCAGATAGAAGAGATGCTTGACGACGCTTATAACAAGTATATGTTTGAGGATGATGAGGTTTACCGAAATAGTTTTTGGACAACGAGAAGCAGCACAGAAAGCCGATGAAACCGATTACAAAAGGAGAAGTTAATGCAATGAAAGCTCAGTTCAGAGTAGTCAATGCTCGACCAGCCAAGAAAGTGGTAGAGGCCAAGTTACAGAAGAAGCGAGCAGCTATGAAAAGATTGGAGAAAGTGAGGAAGAAGGTGAACACGATACCCGACACAGCGGATATAAGGACAAGATGATAGAAAAGTTATACAAGAAAGCCTAAGAAAGAACGGGTTGTGTCTAAGAAAGGAGTAGGAGTTAAGATTGGGAAAGGTCAGAAGAGAGTGGATCGGAGGATGAAGAGTGATGTTAGGAAGCGCGGAGGAGGCAAGCCCGGTAAGAACGGGAAGAAGAATGCTTACTGGTAAAGTCCTCAATATGGTGTGGTGAGGCAAGAAGGAAGTTTTGTTTCGAGTTAAAAGTCTCTGATTTGTATCAGTTCTTGACATACTTTATGTTTGTTTTTGTCCGTAAACAATAACATAGCTTTTGTTTTATATCAAAATTTGAATAGGGAAGAAAAAGTTATCAAGAAGAACTTATTGGCATTTTGTTTCTGAAATCACAATAACATAGCTTTTTCTCTCATTTTCCACTTATACAATATAGCTTTGCAGTTGTCTTTTTTGGGGGTTAAAAGGTTATAATATATCGTGGTAAACAAAAGGTTAAATATTACTTCAACTACTTTTTTTTACATAGAAATGTTTGTTGGAGGGACAAAAGAAAACAATTTGGAATCGAAACTCGTTAGAAAAATTAGAAATGATTCAGTTAATAGTTTGATAATTCAATTATAATTCGATATCGTACATCTAAATAAGCTTAATCGGTGTGAAAACAAAAAAAAAAGCTTGATCGGTTGGAATTGGAATTTTTTTACCAGGAAAAGATCGGTTGGAATGCCAAAATTGATTGACCAGTTTGACCTTGTCAATGTTGTCTATTACAAATTTGTCATTTTACCTCAGAAATATCCCTTGTACATATATCATGGTGCATGGTGCATTTGGAAAGTGTTTTTTAGCTTGTGTTACTTTTTACTGCCCATCTTTTTCTAAATTTTTTATTTCTTTTTTGGGTTTAATCACTGCTCATCTTTGATGCGATGTAATTTGAAAATGTATACTGCATTTGAACTCAAACAAACCCACAAATAATTAAGGTTCCGAAAGTAAGGCAGATAATGAACAAAAAGACCCATAGGACAATAACGAATTAACGAGTATGCAATTTCAGCACACACTGTACTTCTTATTTAAACGATAAATTAGTGCCCTAATTCTCTAATTATTTTTAAATTTCAAAAATAAGATTGTCAGAAAGAAATAATTTTTTTTTTCCTCACAACAAATTAGTGTTTGAATTTACTAGTAGTGAAAAATAATTACTCCTAATATCTAAGTTAAAAGATAAGGATATAAGGTCATATTATTTTTTATTGTATTTTTGAAATTATATAAGGTCATATTTCTTAAAAATATAAGAAAAGTTTCTAGAATATTTTTATTATAAAAGGTTATAGAAACATTTAAAACGCAATGTCATACTATAGTTCCATGTCCCAATATACTCCATGGTTTATTAAATGAAATTTAATTTTCCTCGTATCTTGGATTATGGACTATCCTCTTTTTTTGTCCGTCTCATGAAAATAATCTCTGATATTATTTTCCCTCTTTCTTTCTGACATTAGTACTCAATTGTTTTTTAGTATAAAATATTATATTTATATAACATACATATAGCATGTCTGTACGTATATTAACTATAGACAACCACAGAGAGGACGCCGTATTGACTAAGTCATATTGACAGACATGGGGGTGATAATATTATCCAGGTATTAGGAGCAAACATCGGCA